TTTTTTTTTTTTTTTTTTTTTTTTTAAGACATGCTCCAATCTATTCGTGGGGAGCAGCATGTGCTGGGAATCAGGCCCAGTGTCCCACATGTTTTTTTTTTTTTTTTTTTTATAGGAAAAACGTGGATAATTGTTGACCTATTGCTAGGCTACTCAAGCAGCAATTACCACAAAAGTCCTTCGAATGCTCAGAACCCCTGGACACCCCGACAAAACACTCTAAAATTCTCTAACACTGTCTAATTCCCTGCCAAACTCTCCCAGGCCTCATGCCCTCACCCTGCTAGGTTACAGGGAAACACGACTCACCCCAACTCCAGCTAACGTCGTCTCCACAACAACCCTTGGTTTTCCCTTGGAATGCCCTGCCCAAGGTATCCCTAGATCTCTCTACCAGGCCTCACGCTCCTGCTATCAACAGGTTACAGGGCAACCCCCCAGCACCGGGCCAGCGTCGTTCTGGCATCGAAAAACCACAGGTCCATGAATATAACAACATCAAAGATGCCTAAAATAAGTTGCAAGGAGTACCCAAAATCCTAAGACATTCTCAAGGGTCTTTTTTCGAGAAAAATTGAGAAAATGTTTTTAAGAAGACCTCCCCCTGCCAACATTGATTGCCCCGGAACCAAAGGGTTAACTGAACAGGGACACCCTTTGATGATAGGTTTTTTTTTGAGAAAAATCTGAGAACAACTTGCACCAAGTACTAATGAAGACAGCCTCGAAGGGGCTGATAGAAGAAAATGGACATCTATACAGTACTAAATGCAAAGGACCCTTTTTTTTTTTGGAAGAACATTCAGATCGAGAAATACCTGCCTTAGAGCCTTTCAGTAGCCCACCCCTACCTGCCTCATCCCTATATCCCGATACTTAGTCTCTACTAGGCCTCACGCCCCCAATTGCTAGGTTAGAGTGGCACGACCCACCCCAGAAGACTCCCACTTGCTAGGTTACAGGGCAAAACGACCCGCCCCGGCTTCGACCAGCGTCAACTAAATACCAGCTTACCAAAGGACACTAGAGTGCCTTCCACCCTCGACAACTCCCCAGATCTCTCTACCAGGTCTCTTGCCTTCGTACAACTCGAGTTACAGGGCAGCGCGACCAAGCCCTAACACCGACCAGCATCGTTCTGGCCTCGCCCATTAGCAATCCCACGGGGACCCAAGACTACAGCAGATACCAGACAAGCCACCAATCAGCACCATAATTGTCGTTCCGATCATTCAGCTCCTTCAGGCATTTGTAGCAGATAGCCCATATAAAATCCCTCACAACCCTACTCCGACGAGTCTTACTACGATGAAGCCACCATCTTCACCGCTGCTGTACCCTATTACCACCCTGCAGGCTAGCCCCATGGACCAATTTTATTTGAATTATATAAAATTTATTGAGTAGAATTTTGAATTATTCGTGATTTTTTTTAAATTATTGAATCAACTTCCGCAGAGCGCATTATCCTCCACCGTCACAACCACAGCCCCCTGACACCAGCGCCGACTTATAAAAAAAAAAATAATCAGAGAATTCAATCCCATTCAATAACATATTGAGAAATCAGGAAATCACTGTTAGAAGATTGAGAAAACTATATACCTGTTTTAGCGCCTACTATTCCACAAGAAGAGGGGAAGGGAGGGAAAAAACCACCCTCTCTCCCCATGGAAACTTCAGCGCCTATTCAACTCTCGATTGCATGTACAAGGCTCACAAGAACCAAAACATATTACTCCTCTCCCCCCAAAAAACGACCCCTTGTCTGATAAATATCTCCGTGGGGAAGCGCCCCCTCACCTCCCAGCCCCAGTTCAAAACAAGCCCCTAAATACCACTCCTGCTCCCTCAGCTGCATACAGTACCCCATAAAGTATGCCCCGCAGAGCCGAAGATCCCCTTCCCTCCTGCCCCACCCCCTCCAAGTGAAACAACCATTCAACATCTTACCATGCTGGTATCAACACCCCTTGTCCTCTCTCCCCAACCGCCATAGCTGATCCGATCCAAGAATCAGCGTGGCCCAGAAAAGGACAAACCCTCAACACCGTCTTTCCCTCTTAAGGATCATACCACCTACCTTGTGTAACCCTCGCAGGGAGGGGCTCCAACCCTAAAGGAGATAATTCCATTCAGATTCAATAGCCACAAATAGATAGGAACAATTTCCAGCAAGAAATATAAAAAAAAATACGATAAAAAGTCAGAATCATGCATAGGAATGACTATTGAGACATCAAAATGATTAGAATTTTGAAATCCATATTACCTACCTCATGAATTTAAGCATTGACACAAATCAAAAGATCAAACGAGATTGAGTTAAGATTTGAAAATTACTTTTTAAGAAATCAGAGGTGACCAACCTCTGATTTGCGAATCTCATGCTAAGAGTATTGCCTAAGAAGTAATTCAATAGCCAAACATACGACAATCGATACGGCTAATGATGTGAAATTCGAAAAATAGACCGACAAACTAGATCAAACAAAATAGCTCAAAATTAATCTTGATTTACTCTTGATTGTCATACCTCAGAATCATAATTATTTGTTATAATTTTGTTACATATCTAGAATTCAAGGTTAAAAAGACTAATAGGTATTGAACCAAACAAAAATATATAGGAATGACATCGTTAAGAGTCTCATCAAGGTCATCGCATAATCATCAATACAAAATGTGAAGAGGAAGAACACAGCTTACCCTCGACAATCCCTAAACGCAACCCCCTCTCTCCAAACCTCAGTACCTCCTTCATCGACTCTCAAGCAACTCGGCGAAGGTGATTCTGGCATATTTTGGGGGCCCATTGTTGAAGGGTAGCCCTTGGCTTCGGGACTGACGAAGTATACTGGTATCCAGTAAGGGTCTTGACGTTTCGGGTACGACAAGGTCTGCATAGAATTTATGACTTTTTTTTGTCATAGGTCCTGTATGGTTCTAAAGTAAGTTTAGTCTGGCCCAGGGGCCGTTCGGGCTATACTTTCTCCCGTGTGAAGTTCGGTCCTAGGTCGTAGGTGAGTATTTAGGTTTGCAAACCACTGGAGTCATTTGAGCCAGCAAAAGACTCCTGAAGAGGTCCGGTGGCGGCCGACCGAAACGCGCCGAGTCACTTCGCCGATTTTGCTCGATAATATCAGAGGTCGGGTTTCATGTAGCGCTTGGGATAACACGATTATCTTTTGATGTACGTGGTATGCGGTGTCTTGCGGTTCGGGCTTCTTCTTCTTCTTCTTCTTCTTCTTCTTCTTCTTCTTCTTCTTTTTCCTTTTTTTCCTCCTCCTCCTCGTGGTCTTCGGAATCTTTTTTTCTTTCTCTTTCTCTTCGTGTGCTTTTTCATCATTGGTCTTTATTCATGCTATATGTATGTTTTTGACCATTGATTCACACCGTAACCGCTGTAGCAATCGCACTATAGTAGAGTGGTTGTGAGAAGCGTGTATCGTAGACGACGTGGTTTTGTCCTTCTCTTTCTTTCGTGTCTTTCCTTCTCGTCTTCTCGTATTTTCACTTCTTTTGCTGTTCTTTGTCGTGTTAGATATACTGGTTCTTTTTCCTTTGCTTTTGACGAGTTTAATATGGCTAATCCAAATTCAAACTTTATTCTTGTTTGTAGATGTTATACATGCAATGACCCCGGCCACTTCCCCCTGGAGCATACGAGATCTGGGGGTAACGGAGGGTATAGGAACTAACCTAGGCTGCACTGAATGGTGCTCCGTCTTCGTCCTCAGGCCAGAGTAATGCGCTTGTCTCTGTCCGGACGTTAGGGCTTCTATCATTACTGGCTCCACCTTCCAACCAAGCGTCGACCTCTATGGTGATTGTCCCTGCGGGTCCCCAAGCGCCTCGGCAGGGGTTCTGGAAGAGCAATCAAGAGCGCTTCAATGAGATATACACTTGGTGGAGTGCGGAGAACGAGGCGAGGGATGCAACTATGAGGGAACAACAACGTGAGAAGGAGGAGAGAGAAGAAAGGGAGAAAAATGAGAGAGAACGGAAAGACCGACGTAAGGAAATGGTAGAGTTCCATCAGGAGATGAGTGAGTTGTTGCGTCAGCAACTGAAAGATGTGTGTGCAGCCATCGTGGGTACTAAGAAGGATGGTCTAGATAAGGAAGATGATGCGGCGCGATTACAGAGGGAGAATGAGGAATTCGAGAAAAATATAGAAACTAGACTTGAGAAACTTACCTTGGAGAACGAAGAGCTGAAGAAAAAGTTTGTGGCGAACTCACAAGTAACATACCCGAAATCGGGTTCGAAGAGACGGGTTGCAGTATTGGAAGTACAACCTACTCCGACGAGGCTGTATCAGGCGGTGGAACCGGCTAGCGAGGTCCATCGTTTGAGATCTGCGTACAAGAAGGTGCTGGAGGATAATGAGGCGATGTCTGAGAAAGTGCGCCTGCTCAAAGAACCGAAGATCAAGGCGCAAGTTGAGGCTGTTGAATTACGCAGGAAGTTGTCGGGCAAAGAGATGTCACATCCACCACGATCTAATCTTCGTTCGTCCTTCGAAGCCGCGACCCACAATGAGGAGATTCCTCCAGCCGTGCTCAAAGGAAACTCGGTCAGGAGACAAAGGGCGATCCAGAAGATCGTTTTTGAGAAGAAAGAGAGGAAATCACTACGGGGTTAAGAAAAAGGAATATCCAGAAATTATGTGCGGATGAAGGGGTACAGTTCGTTACAATCAAGCAAGCGGTCGATGAAATCGTGGAAAGAAGACTGGACAGAAAATTCGGTCAATCTGGGAACGGTGTGGATAACGGTGAAAAAGGTGAGGGTACAAGCCTTGGTTCTGACAAAGCCGGTGTTGAAGAGGATGCGAGAGGGTCTGAATCCTGGGAGATCTCCGACTCCTAGGATTTTTTTCCGAGCGTGAACTCTATTTGGCTTAACTTATCAAAATGTTCAGTTGTTCGAACGTCGTCTATCTTCCTCCGTAATGCTAACGTAGATTGTCTGTTTCGTTTACTTGTGCTGACCCTCGTATGCTCCAATTCTATTCGCTGGTTGACTAAGTTCCAGGATCATGTTAAAGACCTTTGTCAGGCCGGGTTTGATTTCCTTTCGTGTCCGGGTCCTCTGGTTTACGCTATCGTGTCCCCCTGGTGCAACCATGTGTATATTGGGTTGGCGACGAGGGATTCACCTATGAGATGGAGGAAATATATCTATTGAAGTAAGGAGGGGACCCAATCGGATAGGCAACACAGACAGTACAGGTGCTTACGACGGGTTGGAATCGAGAAGTTTGTGGTTATTCCGCATTGTGTCTGTAGGGAAGAAGATGTGCTTCTTGTTGAAAACGCATTCATTCGTATCTATTCTCCCCACTTAATCTTTAGAGGCAGGAAACGAGTGGGAAGAAGAAGAAGGAAAGGAAAAAGGGAACGGGTGAGGGCCCGTAAGAATATGTCTATGGTTTCCAGCATTGACAATGGTAGGGATCAGAGCATGAACAATATGAAGGTGGCGAGTTTCTCTTCGTCTGACGGTCTGAACTCTGTTAGCCTTATGTCTATTCTGACTAATTGTCATGAGCGGAAGATTCACAATGTCGAGATAAAATGTGAAGGGGGCGACATCCTGAGTGACGGGTGGAAATTGTTGAGGTGTTGCTTTGGATCTTCCGTGGTGAAATCTGAGTCGGGGACGAAAGAGCTGAAGAGGGTAAGGGTGTGGTTCCACACAAGGGCGGTCCTTCGTTTTATGAGTATTAATCTATTTTGTTCTTCCTTGGCCTTTGGTGCTTCTACTTTCGAACCCCGTCAAGCGTAGAGATCTTTACTCCTGGTCTAACGATGAACTGGTACGAGGTTTTAGTGTGGTGCGATGCTTTTCAGAAAAGTGAATGAGATTTTCTCTTCGGGTTATTCTGTCCAATGTTATTAAGCGGTATTTTGGTGATTTTGTCAGAGCGAGAATAGTGGTTCGTGTTATCTTTGATGAATCTATCTTTAAGGCGGGCGTGTGTACCGTGGCGACTGAAATTATCTGAATTATGAAAATCTCGAAGGTTTGGAAAGAGTTATGGATTCGGCGCCTCCGGGTGGTATGGGTGAAAAACAAGAGTATAGGTGAACTCTTTCACAATTACAGGCAGGCTGCCAGAGTTTCATCTCCTGTATGTTGTTGCGCTGGGGTCAGTGATGAATTCCCGAAATCTGATGGACACTTGTCCTTCCGAATTAGTGAGGTTTGCCACACTGGATGTCCAACTCACGCAATATTCCTCACCCGATTGTTCAAGATGCCCATAGGCGAGTGAGGCAATCTCTTAACGATGCTTTTCATTTTTTTTTTCTCGGGAGGGTGTTCCTTTCCTGTCTAATATCTTGGTTGCAGGTTGTGTTAAGCTTGTTGATCTCCCCGGGAAGCCGTCGTTTTCCCCATCTACCCTTTCTTCCTTCCCTTCCTCCCTTCTCTGTCTTTCCTCCTGTTCGGTTCCCCCTTCTTTATCTTCTTCTTCTTCTTCTTCTTCTTCTTCTTCTTCCTCTTCTTATTCTTCTTCTTATTCGTCTTCTCCTTCTTCGTCGTCGTTTTTCTCCTCTTCTTCCTCTGACCTTAGGTCTCTCCCTTCCACGTCCCTGCTGTTACTATTATCTTTAGCTCTTTCTACTCTCGGAGTCAGGGACATTGAGATTTCACTCTTACTATGTGACGTTGGATCAGTTCTCAGGGTTCGTTCCGGCTTGTCCAACTTCGTTTGCTGTACAATCGACCACAACCCGGGGGACTCTGTCGTGTGCTGCCTGAAGGTTTATTACCAAGGGTTGAGTAAGTTGTTCCTCGATAATCCAGGATTCAAATGTATTACAGCTGGGGCGAAGGATTTGATGGAAGGGAGTCGGGTGAAATTTGAGCAAGGTAATTTTGGACGACTTATGAAATGGAAGAGGAACGGTACATTTGGCAAAGCCCATGGTATCCCCAAGCATAAGGATACTCAAAAGTGGGGACCGATTTGCCCCCCGTACTCCGAACCAGCTAATGGCGGGTGTAAAAAAGTGTCTAGTTGTTTGAATGAGCTGCTATGGAAGCTTCCTTTGGGGTCGCATTTTAATTCTCGAAGCACACAGGACTTGATTCCGCGTATAGCCAGGGTTAATAAGACTGTAAAATCTAATGATGCACTGCTTACTTGGTGGTTCATTTGAAGTGAAAAAAATGTTTTGTTAGTCTACCGTATGGCACGACATGATTCCATTTTGCAGGCATTGAGATGGGTAACTGAGTTTTGGGACGAAGGAGAATGTACAGGTCTACTGGTTAAAAGAAGAAGGAAGGGGGCAAAATTGAGGTTCGGTAGGATTGGTGATGGGTATCTTTCTGTCTCTTTTTCTGAGATCGTTGAGTTCGTGAAATTTGACTTGGGTAACACCTATATTGAGGTGGCTGGAGTCTGCCTGAGACAGGTTGTTGGCATTCCCATGGGGAAACCCTCTAGCCCTGCGTTAGCCTGTTTATTGTGTGCTTACTTTGAATTCCAATTCCTGTCATCGCTTGGCACAAATCGGAAGTTGGTTTCGGCTTGTGGATGATATTTCAGTGTTTATAAGATTCAAGAAGGGAGATGTCCAATCCAAGAGGAAAACCTTGTTTATCTTGGAGAAGCTTAAGTTGTGTTACGATCCCCGACTGATGTTGGAATCTACCAGTGTTGGTGTTTCTTGGGATTTTCTAGGATGATGGTCTGCCTTCTCAACGAGCGGTCGGTGGGGTGTGTTGCTCTTCATCGCAATTTGCGTGCCATCTTCCAGCAAGGCATCGTTTTTCAAGTTATCCAAGATTTCTGCTCCTTCTCTTCTCGACAGCAAAAGATGGCAGTAATTTACTCCTTCCTTCACCGATGCAAATGTCTGACTAATCTCAAAGGTGTTGAGTCTGCTTTCTTTTTGCCCTTAAGATTGAGCTGTGTTCCGGGGGTACCCTGATAAACTGTTTGATGAGGCATTGGAATGTTTTTCCCGGCGCTTTGGTGGCATATGGGACAATTGGGTGCTTATGCTTTCCAAATGGGATAGGTTGTTCACAGTAAGGCGGAGGTGATTCTGGTATATGACAGGGGCCCATTGTTGAAGGGTAGCCCTTGGCTTCAGGACTAACGAAGTATATTGGTATCCAGTAAGGGTTTTGACGTTTCGGGTATGATAGGGTCTGCATAGAATTCATAACTTTTTTTTGTCATATGACCTGAATGGTCGTAAAGTAAGTTTAGTCTGGCCCAGGGGCCGTTCGGGCCATACTTTCTCCCGTATGAAGTCCGGTCCTAGGTCGTAGGTGAGTATTTAGGTTTGCAAACCACTGGATTCATTTGAGCCAGTAGAAGACTCCTGAAGATGGTCGGTGGCAACCGACCAAAACGCGTCGAGTCACTTCGCCAATACTGCTCGACAGTATCAAAGGTCGGGTTTCATGTTGACGTCTTTGGATGCTATTTTGTTGACCTTCGTTTGCGCTCGGGAGAACACAATTATCTTTTGATGTACGTGGTGTACGGTGTCTGGCGGTTCAGGCTTCGTTTTTTTTTTTTTTTTTTGTCTTTTTTTTGTCTTTCTTCTTCTTCTTCTTCTTCTTCTTCCTTTTTTTTCTCCTCTTCGTCTTCGTAATCTTTTTCTCTTTCTCTTTCTCTTCGTGTGCTTTTTAATCGTTGGTCTTTATCATGCTATATGTATGTTTTCGACCATCCCAAAGACATGTACAAAACAATTTATAAACCAATTGAGGTACCGGGGAGATCGTGAACCAGCTACTGGACTTTGCAATAGATGATGAGAAGACTACGCTTCTTTTTTATGATCACTAAACACTTCCTGAACTCCACCGCAATTTTCAGAATACTCGAGTAGCTAAGGGATTTCCAACAGAACATAACAAAGTTCACTAAAGCCGACTTATTTTCTGACAAACTCATCCAGGCCTCACGCCCCCTCCGGCCAGTGTCGTCCTGTGTCAGCAACCCCAGTTGTCCCTTAGGATGCCCCCGCATAGCATCTCCAGATCTCTCTACAAGGCCTCATGCCCTCACCTTTAGCAAGTTACAGGGCATCACCCCGACTCCGGCCAACGTCGTTCTGGCATTGAACAACCACTGATCATGAATATAACAGTCTAATTCCAGTGCAGCTTCATACAAACCACCAGCAAACCCTCAGAGTCCTGAGAGATTCTTCAAACTACCAGAAATAACAAGGGTTTCAGTGAGCGGGTTAGCTGGTAGGATGGAAATAGGGTACAACATCGGTGGAGATGGTGGTTCTGCTGTAGTAAGCCTTGCCAGGGTGAGGTAAAAAGGATGGATGGGGGTTTCTGAGACGTTTTCTGAAATTTTGCCTAGGTGAGATGGAGAAGATAGTTAGATATCAAGCGTCCTACTAGTGAGGGGGCCAGCTGGAAGGATGGTAATAGGGTATAACAACAACAAAGATGGTGGCTTTGCTGCAGTAAGACTTGCCGGAGTGAGGTAAAAAGGATGGAGGGGGGGTTCAGTCTTTCCTAAATTTTTGCCTATTTTCAGTAGCTTGTTTGTATTTCTTAATCTAGCTCTTAGCCAGAGCCGGGTAGTGGCCCTGGTAGGCTGGTACCGCAAGCTTTCAAAATTCCTTCAAAATTCTATGTAAATTTCTATACGGGACGCTGGGCCCGGTTCCCAGCACGTGCTGCTCCCCACGAATAGATTGAAGCTTTGTTCCCATTAAAAAAAAA